TGCTGCCTCCTGCTGCCCGCCCCTCTGCTCCAGGCCTCGGCAGCTTCCTCCAGCAGCGCCCACAACCGCAGCCCGGTGCCCATCGGCGAGGGTGAGTAAGCGGAGGGGCCGGGCTCTCCTTGCTGCGCCCGGCCACAGCGGGCGGCCTTGTTGGGACCCAGCGGCACCATCAACACGGAGACCCCCAGCTGCTCCTTCTCGCCCCCAAATTCGCCTTGGGTCCTGCCCCAGGAAATGGCATAAAAACTACGGACTGGGGTGGAAAGGGAGCGGCATTTGAGCTCGACGTTGGGGGTAACAGACATGGAGACGCGGCCAAAGTTTGGCAAGGCGCAGCCGCCCCGTTGGGTTTTTAAGGCAGGGATTGAGCGAGCCACAGGTCCCTACAGCGTGTGTGACTTGATTGTTTCCTTTCCCTCTAGCGGACACACTCGCTTTTATCCCACAGCTGAATAAGTGACCAAAGAATTTGCCCGGTGCCTAATAACAGAGTAAAAGCATCCTGCTTGGTTAATAATTCTCCTGGTGCTTTAATATCACATGCGTCCAAAAAAAATCACAGGAAGCACATTCAAGAGCCAGCTGTAGAGCCCACACTTCTGAGTCTCTGTCCTTTAAGCTGCTGCTACAGTGGGATGCCAATGGCCCTGGATTTCTAAGATGCTGCAGAAGCAGATGAGCATGTTTTTGTGTTAGGCCCCTGGGGCCAAATTCTTGCAAATCCAGCTACCAGATCTGGTACATCAGGTTCTATTAACGTCTGAAGGATGTTGTTGGAGTGGGAGCAACTAAACTTCTTCTTAGGTGAATCTTTAGAATTGGAGCTGGGGTTAAAAATTGGCTGAACCTAGGCATGGAAAAGAAATTTTTACCATACTCATGTGCCATGTCACAGCAGGGTTTAGATTTTCAGGGTGCAATAGCAGCAAGTAGATGTGTTTTTTCTAAAAATTAGTCAATTCAAGGTAGATCCAGCTTCTGTGCAGTGCCACAAGCAAGACCATGTGTGGGAGAGAAGCTATTGACCAACACTGAGCTTCTTTTTCAGCAACAGAAGTTGGTTCAATAACAGACTTTTTCTTCGCCCATTCTCTAATATCTCTCCAATATCTCGAGACCCTCATGACTACATCACTGAAATATAGTTGGAGATAGAGGAAAGAAGGTTAGTGTCTTTAACAGACCAAAATAAAGCTCTGAGCTAAAGAGAGATGGACCATCACTAGAGAAATCCACCCTTCCCCCAACCTATTATATCTCCAGTGCACAGAGTGATGAAGTTCTTTTCTCTGGTTGGTCTTTCAGCTGAGAAGAGGTACAAAGTACCTGGCAGTTACAAACCTTCCAAATTCGACAAAAAAATCCTCATGTGGACAGGACGCTTCAAGACTGAAGAAGAGATTCCCTCAAGGATCCCGTAAGTGCAAGATTGGTTTAATTTTGGGATCAGTTTGAAAACGAGGGCCCCTCCAATCCTTTTCTTTTCAGTCCACTTAGCCTCAGTAAGAAACAATCAATGTTTTCCAATATTTGAAACATCAATGAAAAATTAAGACACAAACATAAGCTCCGATATCACATCCTCTCTCTCAATCAGTGGCTTCTAGTTTCAATATTAGGTTGCAGCTCAATCTGTACTGGTTACATTATACTCTCAGAAATGGGAGGGAGCTGAGCTGAACTGAGTTGGCTCCTTCACTGAATGGCCCCTTATTTGTGGCCAGATGCTTATTAGCAACTCATGACAGAAATTCCAAAAGAAGAGAAACCTATGGGCCAATCACATACCATCAAAACTATAAATGCATCCAAACACAAGGCTGGGTGCAGTCAGTCACAGCATGAGGAAAGGGTATTTAACCTTCCACAATGTGTCATCTGTGGAGTTTCGAAAATTCAAAACACTTAAGATATAAACCAAGGGCTCTGAGTTTTCCAGGTCTTCCCTTGGTCCCAATGTTCCTTTGAGAATTAGAGACATTTTAGATTACTTTGGATTTTACAGTTTAAGAGAGAAGACCCAGTGCTCATCATCATTGTAGAGGAATATAGAACTATACCTCCAAGCAAGGTAGACAGTTTGGCCCTAATTGTGGTAATGGGTTGAGCTTTGGTTTTATTTATAGACTGGCTTTTTTATTTGCTTAGTTTATCAAATGTGTGATCAGACTAAGATTGTAGCAGTAAACTGTATTTTCTGTTTATGGACTACATAAAGTATTTTCTAACTTGTTTGATGTCATCAGTAATCATCCATTCCATCCAACTTATTACAAGGCAAGAAAGTATTTGAGAGAGGGTAGGGGAAGAGAGAGAAAAGCAGGTAAAGCCTGTTAAAAATACTGAAAAAAAGAGATGTCTGGGATAGCACTGAGTATCCTGAAAGTTTTGGTGTCACAAGACTTGCTCCCCCATTAGCCACCACCCGCTGAGTTGCTGTCACTGACAAGCCTTCTCCCTCTCCCCAGTAGTTATATAAATGTGAAGGTCATGTAATATCAACGAGGCTATGTCTACACTGGCATGAATTTCCGGAAATGCTTAAAACAGAATACTATTCCGTTTTCAGTTTTTCCGGAAAAGGAGCATCTACATTGGCAGGCTGCTTTTCTGGAAAAGCCCTTTTTCCGGAAAAGCGTCTGTGGCCAATGTAGACGCGCTTTTCCGGAAAAGACCCCCAATCGCCATTTTCGCGATCGGGGCTTTTTTCTGGAAAAGACTACTGGGCTGTCTACACTGGCCCTTTTCCGGAACAGTGTTCCGGAATAAGGACTTATGCCCGAGCGGGAGCGGAATAGTTTTTCCGGAGTAGCGGCTGATTTTGTACGGTAGAGCATCGTTGCTTTTCCGGAAATTCAAGGGCCAGTGTAGACAGCTCGCAGCTTATTCCGGAAAAGCGGCTGGTTTTCCGGAATAAGTGGCCCAGTGTAGACACAGCCCTAATGTTTATTTCTAAGCCTCATTGATACATGATGTTGCTCATTCACAGAACAGCTGTACTTTTTTATCAGCAGCTTCCATCCCTGCCTGACTGTACATAACATACTGAACTTTATTGAGGGGCAGTTAGTTACAAGGAAGACTCCAGGATGTTTCCTTTGTTCCCAGAAGTTTCATTCCTACTGCAGCTGAGAAAATAAGCAAGAGCATCGCTGCAAGTAACAATAGCCCCAATTTTTGTATATTAATCCAAAGGCTCTTCCCTAGTCATCTCACTCTTTGTCAGAATTATTTCCTCCCTTATGAGAAACCCTGACCTCTTGCAGTCAATGATAAACTTCCCTGACTTTGTCAGGGTCAATAATTCACACACGGTGTTCAGTGCAGGAGAGCTATCCTTTAGAGAAAAATATGAAAGCAATTGCATAAGTGTTTTTGGAAGAGTCATTTTTAATTGCTTTACGTTTGAAAATGTGGGTTAGAGTGCCATTAAAAATGATGTGGTGTTACCCCCTCAGAAATCAAGCAGCCAGAAAGCTGCATGGGGGACAATCTCTAAACTAGTGTGAAGGTACAGGTCCCCATACAGACAGTTCTGGGTATCTAGTAGATTTTTGATAGAGATGTAGCCGTGTTAGTCTGGGGTAGCTGAAGCAAAATGCAGGACAATGTAGCACTTTAAAGACTAACAAGATGGTTTGTTAGATGATGAGCTTTCGTGGGCCAGAGGAAGTGGGTCTGGCCCACGAAAGCTCATCATCTAATAAACCATCTTGTTAGTCTTTAAAGTGCTACATTGTCCTGCATTTTGCTTTAGTAGATTTTTATGAGATGTGTGTGCTGAGCACCAAAATCCCTATCTGCTTCAGTGGATAGAACTTGCACTAATGGCCTTTTCCTCTTCTGAAGATTTCAGAGGAAATTCTGTTTCTTCCTTCCAAACTTTTTCCTATGGGAGATAACAGGACCCTAATTTCCTTCTGTAATTTCAGTGGGAGCTTTGAGAGAGAATGGCAGGATACAGGCCTTTAAACAATAAAACAAACAAACAAACCCAACCCTGACTAGTGAATATTAATCTCTCTTCCACATGCCCAAACCTTTTTTAGAACTGGAAGTTCATAAACTAAAAAACAAAGCAAACAGAAGAAATGACTCAAAGATTTGAATAAAATAATTATTAGAGAGTACAAGGGTCCTCATTGAACAGGATCCTGTTCTTAATGAATAGTTATCCAAATGGCCCTTTGGAATGGCAAGGCAATGTTACACGAGTTAAGGACAAGTCCAACAGTCCTTATTCAAGATTTGCTTAAAGAAATGTCCATGGAGGTCAATAAGACTTTGTCTTGAGTAAGGATTTAGGGATACAGTCCTTAATGAAGAACTACAGAAAATCATAATTAGGCCTGTTTCCGTGAAACAGTGCAGAAAGCAGGTAGGAATTGGGATTCTGCTTCAGAACAGCTTCAATTAGTGCATTGTGAAATATGATTACAGCATTAAGGCTGAAAAATAATGCATTTATATTCTGACTTCTGCTCCAAATGGATCCGAGATTAATAGTTTCATGTTCCAGTCTGGTTTTGATCTCTCATACCTAATGTGTTTAGTATTATGAAATAGAGCTACAGTATCTTCACACTATGATCAGACCTGCAAGCCCTGACAGCCTGCTTGCAGTGCACCACATCCTCAACTCATTACTGAGAACTAGGTTAGCTGAAATACTTGTAAGATTTGCCAATTGGTGTGAGGGTTTCATGGGCTGAAGGGAAGCACAGTAGGTCCCACAATTTCATGTTTCCCTTTTGAAAATTATCTGTTCAGATAGATTTAGGTAGTGCTAGCTACCAGCTGCTTTGTTTGCTAGTAGTACTGCCAGGTTCCTATCTGTATTTACCTCACATGGTTAAATAATTTTATGGCGGGAAGACATAACATTGTGTCCTAAGCTTATGGAAAATAATCACTTTTTAAATATAGTATGTGATGTCTTTTAGAATGTGTCTTTAAAAAGATGAAGAGCTAATCAAAATTAAAATGAATTTTAAGAAATTCCTTAAAGCAAAAAGTGATCAGATGAGACTGATTGGGCTAGCAATGACAAATGCTTCATCATGGCAAGGGGATAGACTAAACCAGCCGTGGCCAACCCATGGCTTACAAGCCACGTGCAGCTCTTCACACGCACACACCCCCATGGCGCGTACAGCTGCTCCCACGCCCTGAAAACGGCCCTCTCCTCCCGGCTCCCTGGGACAGGGAGCTGTCTGGCACAGCCATTAAAAGATGGCGTTGGCCAGCAAGAGCCTGATGTGGCCAAAAAGCCTCTAAACTTGTTTTCTTAAGATGACAGTCTCCCCCCCCCCCCTTTTCCCTCACTGGACAACTTTGCCCCAGCTCTTTGCACTGGATCCAGATATCTTAGCTCTGCCCTAGACCATAGGTTCTCTCATAGGCATTCCCAGTCTTATTTCTCCAACTCCCCACCCTCCTAAGTCTGAGAAACATAGGTAAGTAGCAGAAGCTGTGTGGGCATGCCACTCAAATTTGAAGGCAGTGCTGTGGCCAACAGCAGCAGCAGCGTAGCTTAGTATGGTATTGCCACCTTTACTCTGCATTGCTAGTGGTGGTGTTGCTTTGGTACCTCCATAGCAACCACCGCTCACTGCTTTGCCTTCAAAGCTGGGTAGCACTTGTGTGGAAGGAGCATAAACTCATATAGACCACGGCTACGTCTACACTGGCCCCTTTTCCGGAAGGGGCATGTAAATTTCACCAGTCGTCGTAGGGAAATCCGCGGGGGATTTAAATATCCCCCGCGGCATTTAAATAAAAATGTCCGCCGCTTTTTTCCGGCTTTTAAAAAAGCCGGAAAAGAGCGTCTAGACTGGCCCCGATCCTCCGGAAAAAGTGCCCTTTTCCGGAGGATCGGGGCCAGTCTAGACGCTCTTTTCCGGCTTTTTTAAAAGCCGGAAAAAAGCGGCGGACATTTTTATTTAAATGCCGCGGGGAAGTAGGAATAAGACCCTCCGGAAAAGGGCACTTTTTCCGGAGGATCGGGGCCAGTGTAGACGCTCTTTTCCGGCTTTTTTAAAAGCCGGAAAAAAGCGGCGGACATTTTTATTTAAATGCCGCGGGGGATATTTAAATCCCTCGCGGATTTCCCTACGACGACTGGTGAAATTTACATGCCCCTTCCGGAAAAGGGGCCAGTGTAGACGTAGCCATAGAGAAGGGGACACAATAAAATAAGTTTGAGAAACACTGGCCTAGCTGATACTTGCAATCCCTTTTAGTCCTATGGTGCTCTGAGTTCCAAGTCTGTAGATGCAAAAGGTATCTTTAGAACACTGTTTCCAGGTCTCATATCCCGCAAGCAAAAGGTGTGAAATCAAGTTTGGGAGGTACTGTATGGCTTGGACAGATCATCTATTTCCTAGTGTCTGTTTAATGTACAACCCACTAATGTTTCCCAGTTATTTCAGGAACTGGAAAACAGAGAAAGCTAAAAATCAGGAATGCAGGCATGAAGAACAAGGAAAAAACCCGCAAGTGACATGAGATCTGAAGCAGGGGATGGGATTGTTGAAATCCAGGATAAGGAGGAAAGAATTTTTTGGTGGGTAAAGAGCTGTATTTGTAAGTGAAGCAAACAGTTTTCAATGAAAGACTGGTCTGTGCTTTACGGATTCAATAAAACATATGCCACCTCTGTCATTAACATGAGTTTCTGCTCTTTAGGCATGAAAACTATGAAAGTGAGCAAATATTGACTGTGCCAATACCAAAATTACCCTTTAAAATGAACAATGATGCATATGTCTAAAACTCATGTTAGTGTGAAACTGATCAGTTTTATTGACAACCAAATAAGGGAAATCTCAGATCTACAGTGGACTGGAAAGTCCAAATTTTAAGCAGGTTTTGAAATGCTGCTTAGTTATTACAACTAATACATTTGCTTTGAATAGTCAAGAGAACTCCCCACACCAGGCAATGCAAGTTCCCTTCTAATAAAATCCTATTATTTATGTAAAAGTATTTTAAATTCACCACATCACTACTGACCAATAAAACTTTAAATGTGGTTTGTGCCCTGGTTATTTTAAGACCTGCCAATAGTTATAGGAAAAAGATCAAGAATCTCAATTCCATCTTGCATAGTAATCAATTAGAGATGGATTAGATCCTATAGTGCATAACAGTCAATAGCTATCTGGACAATGCTAAACATATTTGCCACATATTAGCAGCTGACCGTTTTTTCCAATGAATTCCTAAAGGATACATTATTTGTTTAAAAAAAAATTGTGTCTGTGGTGTGCTATACTAGCTTCTTGATATTTCATACTAATTTTGTTCAATGCAACTTTACCTGTAGGCCAGAAATGCTGGACATTGCAAGAAATAAAGCTCGAGTAAAAACCTGTTACATAATGATAGGACTCACAATTATTGCCTGCTTTGCTGTTATTGCATCAGCTAGAAGGGTGAGTATATTACCACTTGTTCTTAAAAACCTAAGAAATAAGTTTCAATATTTACAAGATTTTTATACATATAAATACGTATGTATTATGTAAGTTGTTGCTGCTGATGCATTTGATTTAAATGTGTATGTATTTAAGTAATGCATCTCACTCCATAAACCTTTATTCATGAAGCATGAGAAACATTAGCTACTACCGTGATGCAATGTTTTTCTGAAGTGTAATTTAGTGATTCACAGGACATTACTCTTGTTTTATTTTTGCAGGCTGAACACCACCAGTCTTTAACAAGCTGGAACCTAGCAAAGAAAGCAAAGTGGCGTGAAGAAGCAGCAATATCAGCAGAGTCTAAGACTAAATAATTTTTCTGCTGAAGCCTGTGAATCTGCTAGTAGAAGGAAAAACCACAAAAAAGCCAGTTACTTGGCATAATTAGCCAGTGTCTTATCTCGTTAGACTTACAAAAAACCATTAACATTGGAGTCCAATGATGTAATACAGTACTCACAAAAAATTTTGGGAGGGAAGGGAATAGGGTTTCTTTTTCTACATTTAAACAGATATTTTTGGTACTTGCTGCATATGACCAAGGTCAGTTCAAACCTTTAGAAAGTTCTAATAATTCTATTTTCAAGTCATCTATTTTGACCTCAATTTGATAAAAGCATGTAACTGTCCACAAGACAGAACAATCAACCAACCAACCTTGTCTTGAAATAGCTTCCTGCTAGATTTGATTTTGTACATTGTATTAAAGACACAAGATTACTGACAACAATTTTCATTTAAAAAATGTTACATATTAAAGCAGGGTCGGTAAAAATTGTGCAAGCCACAACGTATTTAAATATCAAGGAAGCCAGTGAGCATTTAACTTTTGTTCTTTCGAATTTTTATTGATCCTACTTACAAAACTCACTTCTGCAATTCTATGTAGAGGGAAAAATTAATAGCATCACTACAGTATTTGCTGAATCTCATTTACTGCTAGATCATGCAGAACTGGCACAGCTTACTTATGCAGTGTTGTAGCAATGTCAGTGGCAGATAAAGAGGATGGGAGTGAGAATCTTTTATTGGATCAAATCTCATTACAGAAGTTGATCCAATACAATATATTATCTAAGCTACTTTGTCTCACTAAAGTTTATAACATTCCCACCTTGTCTTGCTAAAGTTTACTTAGTTATTTTGCAAACTAAAACACAATAGACAGTATTTTAGTCTCTATAGGCTTTTCCTCTAAAAATTCTTGGGAACTCCCATGAAATTAATTTTGCAAGAGAAGAAAGGATGGACAACGGTGATGGCCAGAGGTATGTGATGTTTATGGAGGAAATATTTTGATACTCGTTTTAAAAGTAATTTCATGCAATGTCGTGTTTAACCTCTTTCCATCCTCTTCTCAAAGCTCATTTTTCTGGCCCAACATACCACTCTAGTATGGAAGTCAGCTGTAGATTTTACTGAATTCAACTCTTAAAAAATAACCAATATAAATACACTCTCTATATTATACTAAGAATCGAGACTAATTTTATAATATTAATAAATGCAATAAACTCACCTCTTTGTAAAATAGCTTTTATTAGTTTTTGTATAGTATTCTGAATTGAAACATTCCATAATATTGCATACTGTTCTCGTGTTGGTTTGTAAAGGTACACAATAATGGGCCTTCAGTCTGGATTAAAAGATGCACTATCACTCTACTTAAAGTCCATATAGACATTTTAGATCGCATAAAGCCATAATGCCACGAGAATGAAAAATTTCTCATTTAAGATTTTAATTAAACTTTTATAGTAATTTCCTGTTAAGAAGCAGGCATTTTATCCTGCATATCAATTTGCACTTCAAAAAAAATTTATATTTTTGGTAAAACAAAAATCCAGTTGAGAACTGACTGTGGAGGAAAAAGGATAGTGCATCTTTTACACAGACCCAACAGAGATCATTTTCCAAACTTGTTCTACAGTAAAGTTATGTCTGCACCAACATTATTATTGTTTTCCTCTTCTGATTGCTGCTGGCAATAGTGTTAAAGCAAATACTATAAAATTAAACAGCAGTATGAACAAAGTTCTTGAAGACAAAAAGTGTGATGATAAAATTCAGTAGAAAATTAAGATTTAGTGTCAAACATCTTATAAAATTAAAAGACTTAGCATTGTTGCATAGATTACCTTGTCAGAATTCAAATTCAAACAGAACAAATAGTTCTCTATTTTGAACAACACTTTTCTATTGAACAAGCTGAATAACTAAGAGGGACACATTAGTGCTTTGTCTTTTATTTAACTCCCCCACCACCCTCAAAACAACAACTTGTAATAGTCTTTTAGATAAAACCATTATGGAAAAAAAATCTATTTAGCAAACACAGCCCTTTCTCAGTCCCCCAGCCCTAAATGCTTTCTACAGAGCAGATTTTTTTCTGTCAGCTTCATTATTTTCCTAAGCATCACTGATGCCTTCAGTATCACTTCTTACAACAGGTGTTAACTTGTGAAAACACTCTTATTCCATTATCATTCATTAACCATAAGTTATTTTTTTAAAGTGTTCCCAGTCAGACTGGTCTATGTTACATATACATGCACAAAGCAACATAATAGGATAATGCCAGATTAACAATTTTAGGGTAAACCAATTGCTGAGATTAAACAACTAGTGTCCCTTTCTGCAACCAGAGTCCATCAATTTTAGATCCCATTTAAACTAAAATCCCTACTTGGAACATACCAGAGGCATGAATTTGTAAATACATAGTGCAGTCACTGTAACTACTCAGAAATATACAATAATATATCCACAAAGATAAAGAAATCCTCTCAAACAAGTATAATACTGGTTGGAACTCCCTGATATGGCACCCTCAGGACCTGAATTAGAGTTTGCCAGACCAGGTGAGGTCAGTGTTCCCCTGCTGGTTACTGGCCCACACTTCAGCACCTCTCTGGGCTGGGGGGGGGGGGGTTGTCCTGGACAGGGCAAGGCTCTCCCCAGCTGCCATCACAGCTCACTAGGCTAGGGCTGTCCAGCTCCTGCAGGACTCCCAGCTGGGCTCCTGCTCCCAGCCTCTGGTGCACTTCGGACCAGCAACATCCATGGTCTTGCCAAACCACATATGTTGCCAGATCAGAGATCCTGGATTTGGGAGGTTAAATATGTACTTTAAATGCCCCTCCCCCCATTTCCAAGTCTTAATTAGGTTTAGGTTTGTTTTTTAGTTAAGCCAAATCTAAACTGCAGAGGCTTATAAATGCAGCATCTGCAGGGTCCTCAAAATAAAAACAGGCACAGCTGGCTAAGTAATATCAAAACAATGTTTGTTAGAGACAGTGGAATACCCTGTTACCTGAATATTTATACGATTATTCTTGTATGAAAAAAAAACTTGGAAATTCATCATCATTTAACTGCTAATCCTGTAATTTCCAACATTACCCTGAACTTTGAAGAGATGATGGGGGGGGGAGGGGGGGAGCAAGTATACTAAAAGACTCAAACAATCACAAAAAGGGGACAAATACAATTCTCAAACATTGTTAAGAAAAAATTGGCTGAGCATTGTGTACACTATACAAACTTGCTGTATTCTGTACAATCTAGGTTCAAAGTGTTTGATAAATCTTTTGTTATACAGAATTTGCAAAACAACAGTACTCCTATATTCACTCTTTTCCTCATAGCATACCTTTTATTTTCAGGAGAAAAAATTCAAATAAGGATGCAATTTTTAAATTGTATCTTGCTACTGACACAGTCAGTTGTTAGTATCTTCAAAGCTGTTTCAATTCTCCCCTTGAAACTACTATGCAACATACAGTGCTTTAATATTCCCAAAGTAAAACACATTATACATGGTAAATGAAAATAGTATTTGCACATTTTATAAACAAGTTAAAATCCAGAATAGTATATAAATGATACCATGCTGTGATCTGGATCTCTCAGTGTATCAACATGTTTCGTGACAGGCACACTAAAATGGGAAGAGTTATTTTAACTCTCAAAATTTCAACTATTGTACATGGTTTAAATAATTTAATAGGTCAAAGAAGTTTTCACTATTATTTCAACACAACATATGACTAACGTTTAACAATAATACTTTCCTTAATTCAAATTCAGACTGGTTACTGGTACGTGAGACAAGCAGTGACTTTCTAAATGTACAAAAAATACCTAGTGTAGTTTTTCAAAGCATATAGAAGAATTGTTTTAAATTCTTAATTATTTCTTTTAGTGGGCAATAGCAAAAAAGACTAGGTGTTTTGGAACAAATATTTAACAGATATTTTCAGATTAATTTTCATGTTCATTAGTCAATATTTACAACACAGCAAACCTTTTTCATTCAATCAAATGGAGAAAATAGTTTCTCCCCCAACTGCAGCAACAATATGGATTGTAACAGGGCACATTTCTATAGCCTTGCCTAAAATAAAGAAAATGAAAACATTGGACTTAAAAAAAAAAAATCAAAAAGTAGTAGCATATTTGGTTAACAATACAATACATAGATACAATCTAAATTTTGTTTAAATAAGTAAATGTTTTAAGAAAGGCAAATATAGCAAGATTTTTCAAATTTTTATATTGGTACCAGATATTAATATGGAGATTGGGTAGATGGTTTTATGCGACTCATTTACAATTTGACAAATCACCTCCTTTCCCAATTATAATCACAATATCCCTGTGGCAACTTCAGCAATTGCTTACATAGCATTATTTGTGGCTTACCTTTAATGCTGTTTTAGCAGCTTGGTATAAGAAGCCAGCATCACGTAACCAGCCAGCTCACTGCTGATTACAATTTGAAAACCACATAATGCAGAACAGCTTTTTTGTCACATTCAAAGCTACATCTGATATTTAAGCATAATATACTTAAATAAAAATCTGCATTATGCTTTTAAATATGTTTCATAAATATGGTTTACTGGTTTGTTGCAAAGCATAATGCATAAAGCTACATTTCACAATTTAAATAAATATTTTTCACATTCTAAATTTAGCTTTTGACAAGCTCATCTTTATTTCATGCTTTAGTTCTGAAGCAACTTTTTTGCTGCAATATAGAGGTAGATTTGATACAAGATTGGACTTGTCAAGTTTACTGCGAAAATGCAACTGCCAACAGCTACAGTGCAGGTGCAGAAACTGCATGAAAAATTCAGAACCACTACCTAAAATCCTACTGAAGTTATTATTCAAGCTTACCCATTCTTGATAAATCACATAAGCCTTAATATTAGACTTGATTACTCACAGAGTTAGTTTCTGAACATATGAAATACAAAAAACCCCAAACAAACAATGAATGAAAAGTTATATCTAACAGAACAGTATAAAAGTGCATGGGCTGCTTCTTTACCTGTCTCTTCTGCATAACACATTCAAATCTCTCATCTAAGTTTGGCCAAAAGAGAGGAAACCCCTGAAAAGTTATAAATATTTATATTTTTGCCTTGTCTTCATTTGACAAATTATAGCTGGAATCCTTCCATTGGAGCTTCCTGCTGCTGAAACACAAATTGCTGCTGACTTTCATCCACCTGAGGTACAATACTGCTATCCTCTTCTTCCACACCAAAGTAATGTTCTATAAGTTCAAAAGCCTTTTGGTAGATCTCTTGGTTTTCATGTCTTTGCAGAAATTCAATTTTATCCAGTCCTTAATTTAAAAGGAAAAAAAAAAAGATATGCCCTTAATTCAATGGCTCTAAAAACCTTAAAAGTACAAAGCTAGGATGAAAATAGTTAGACACATAAATGTGTTTTGAATACTACCACTAAGTTGTGTGACGAATTAACTGGAGAATTAGGTTTTAATATGAAATATACTGTAACTTCCTAGTTTAGGAGAAACAACCCAGAATAAATATTTCTGTGAAATCAATGATACACGTTAGCCATGAGTATTCCAAGAAGAGTCAGTCACCCAACTAGCTGCTTACATCCCTTCTTAAAAGCCCAATTCCCTACCCACCACCCAGTTCACTGAAGTCAGAGACTTTGCTCTTCAAGAAAAAGGCATAATGGATTATCTAATCAGGTACTCCCCAGTCACTGAAGACAGGAGATTCCCCTAAGAATCATTAACCACCTCTGAAGCACAGAGAAGCCTGCATAGACTTTGTATTAGAGCACTGCAAAGATAAATTTTGGCTAGCTAGGTTCCTATAGAATAGATCCCATGATTTCAAATAGGCCTATAGAATAGATTAGTTTCCATAATAACTTTAAATCTATCTTTACCACTGACTTTGTGAAACCAAAAAGAATCTGCCTCAATTTCATAAGTATGGTCTGATTTGAGTTTCTGACTTACTATTTGGTACTTTTAAGAACTCTTCTTTGTTTTGTTTAAAGTTATTCTGCCTTAAATTAGATACTTACTGAATTTTAGGGTCCAACATTGATTTATTTTTGTCTGAAATATGGCTAGAAATTGATATGAAAACAACAGGTTGTGGTAACTTCTAACTATGTTAAATTGTGTTCCATTATTTTCCTTTTTCAATTATGAAAAAGGCACCTTCAAGCCCACAGCTTCTCAATAATTGCTTACCATATGCTTCCTCTATAAGGGCACAGTAGGGATTAACGCCGATTCCATTTTGCTTGGATTCTTGCTCTCCAAGACGCAGAATATTTTCAAGTCCATTCAAAGCAACCTGCACTATTTTGGAATCCATCACAGTCAGGAGGTCACAAAGAGGTTTAGTACAACCTAATGCTACCAAATACCTTGTAATGATGGAGAAAAGAGGGGGGGAAGTAGTGATAGTCCAGTATATTAATTTTGACACGCTGTTCATAGTGTTGAATACTAATAAAAACAGTACGCAACCTGCTGAAACAATATCATTTCTATATCTATGAAGACAATCTTACTCTGAAATACAGTCAAACCTTGATTTATACGGAGATAGGAATACAACAATTAATTCAAACATCAGTTATTAGACATGTAAACATTTGCAATCTTTTTTATACATGATTGAACCTTGTTTGAGAAACCTGCATTTCAAATAGGGATATTAAAATGAGTAATTATGTAATTATGTAACTGCTGAAGAACTGCAGGATGGAGCTGTCTCCTCCCTCTCCCCTGGGATGGGGAGGGCTTAAAAGCCTGCTCTGTGCATGTACTGGATCAGCAATCTGCAAACAATGTCTGTAGCTCATTAAGATACTTAATTGAGTCAGTAAGCTAAAAAGAGAGAATGTCTGTAATTTGCTGAGATAATGGGGAACATCCAGGAAACCTTTTATAATGTACAAGGTAAACCTGGAATGTAAGATGAGATAAAGAATAAGTCATACATGGACAGAACATGATGCAGAGATTGGTTCTTACAAAATAACCAAATCAATCCCAAAATGCATGATGCAATATATAGTAAATGCAATTTAATGTGTAACTGAATATAAAGGAAGAAATTTTCTATGTATGGTATGCACCATACTCCCACTCCTTTGTTTAAGTCTGATTAATTCATCCTAGCTGAGCACTTCTTGTATGCCAAATAAAGATACCCAAGTCATAAAAATCTGGAATCAAACCAAGTTCTTGGCTAACTTAGAACATAAGAACGGCCTTCCTGGATCAGACCAAAGGCCCATCGAGGCCCAGTAGTATCCTGTTTTCTGACAACGGACAATGCCAAATGTCTCAGAGGAAGTAAACAGAAACAGGTAATTTAGTGAACAGAAGTCTCAGAGGGAATCTTATAGTAATGTAAAGGAAAATTAAAGTATTCTGCACACATTGGAAAGGATTAAGCTACATTTGTAGCTGTAGGCAGCTGTTTATTTAAGAATAATAGTCTTAAATTTTATGTAGCATAACTGCCTGAACTTGGAATCAAGATTTTTTTTAAAATTTCTCCCAATTAAAAGGCATGACCCAGCTTCAAGTGGCTGTAATCCACCCTGGGGCACACTTGCTATGTATATGTTGCTCAAATTTTGCTTTGATAATATGACATTAGCAGAACTCTTTGTGGGGGAAATTGACCCAAGCCTTCAGAGCTTTCACAAGAGTGAATTTCATTCAATTTCAGTTTTACTGATTCAGTTGCATAGGGGGGGGGGGGGGGGTTTGAATCCCCCAAAATAAGTAGTTGGAACAACTGATTATATACAATGTTACTGTGCTATAAAAATATATTGAGTGAGGTCTTTTATAAAAGCTTGTGATGTTCTGAACTTTACAGTCATTATTGGATATGTATGCCAACTAATTATAAATTTCTGTATTTGTGAATATACAAAATTATGTTAATTATTTATTGTGCAACATTAAGCTTCACTTTACTGTGGGTGGTCAGGCAGAGAGGACCTTCCTCCCCAGCTAGAGCACCTAGCATTAGAGAATCTAAGAAACAATAAATGAGCCATTAGATTTCATGGAAGACCATGAGATATCCCAGCTAGAAAAAAAAATACAAAACACAAAACATGCTCCTTCCCCCCCCCCCACTTTCTAAAAAGAACAGGTTTAAATTTAAGAGTATCCAGAAATTGAGGGACAGTCACAGTACTGTCTGTGAAACACTGCATTATGACTAGATGGTATGCTGTGAAATTGTTCAGAGGCAACAGATGATTTGTATTAAAAAGGGGAATCAATCTAATCTGAAAGTCTAAAACCTAAGGCTGTATATTTATGTTTCTTTTCTGTGTAATGTGTATATAACTGCCATTCCTTACTATTTTACCCTTGACACCGTGATTTTTCCCCCTCTATTCAATAAATCTTTGCTTTACTTTTTTCCCCAAACAGGTCTCCAGTGTAAACTGTGTTAAGTGTGTAACTGAAGTAAGCTGTGTCCAGGGGACTGGTGTCACTGATGAAACAGGAAAAGTCCAAATGGCTAATACTAAAGAACTCTGAGGACAGATTTGGGGAGACATGAGACTAGAAGGGATGTTAGTGGAACCCTGCAGCAATAAGTAGGTGATGGAAGCCAGGGTACTATTGTGTGCTTCTGCACAGGCTACTGGTGTCAGGGGTATGAACCAAACTGCTCAGCATAAAGGCAAACGAAGTTACAGAGCAAGAGGGGAAAGAACTGTGCACTAGTCTGGGTGATCATCAATATATCATGTACACTTTATCTAATCTATTTTTAAACTACAATTTAAAAAAAGTCACTGTATTAAGACAACTAATTCTAAGATGACAAATTTGTTTAGGAATTTATTGCAAATTTTGATAGAATCCAATTATGGGACTACATTTAAGAAAACATTTGAAGTCCAAGAGAAAGGTAAGTGTCAAAATACTTAACTCTGTGTCAAGTCAGTGAGTTATTTTCAAATAAGCACTAAGTGAATTTCACACATTAATTACTCCTCAATCAACTTCTAATTCATTACCTTATTTGTTCAGGAGTACCTCCTGATGTTGCATTAGTGATAGCCCATGCTGCTTCTTTTCTGGTGCGAAATTCAGCTTTCTGAAGAATGTCAATCAATATTGGGAAAATATTTGCATCTATAACAGCCTAAAACAAGAAACAGTGACATTATATAATAGGCTATAATAGGTAATAAAAACAACCAAGTTAATATAAATGCAAGAAAGAGTATTAAAGATTTTTCCTGAACGGAGAATACCACCATTCAATAGAATTTGTCAACTAAGTCTGTTTATTCTGAAATTATTACCCGAGTGGATTTGATTTAAATCACTAGACAGGAAGACTTGATCTAATCATGATTTTCTACATAAAATTACATTCTTGTTGATTGTTATAACCTTTATATTTTATATTCTTCACAACTCAGAGACAGATTAGGTTTCATTTTAGAAGGCACATACTATACATTTTAAAACAATTATTGAAACTATTCAGATTCATTTTATGGCTATATCAGAAAACAAATGATTTTTTGGTTATTTCATTTACCAAATGTAATTGAAGCAGGTATTTATGAAGTCATTGGGAGGTGAACTATCATTAATATTTGGAGTACTTTCTTGTTATGCTGTATTAGGAGGAAATCACCACCAGAACAATGTTTACATTTTTCTATTCAACTAACACAACATTATGTATTCTGGATTCTTTTCTTCAACTGCAAACATATAATATTTTAACAAAACAAGCATATGAATTTTTTAATTTAGTTAAACATTCAAGTTTTTTAAAATCAGTTTTGTTTTTGTTAAAATTGTTTATCTAAAATAGTTAAATTAATTTTTTTTTAATATTAAATTGATGTCAGCCAGATCAACATGAGAAACTTAAAATATTGGCTTCTGCAAACATCTTCGCCTTCATTTTCCTACTTGTTCATAATCTGAAAAAGAAAAACTAGCTTTCCTGCTTTTTCAGGTCTCAAACAATTTCTCAATTTGGAATGAATTAGTCCAAAGGAAGAAAATATTCCTTCTACATCGGCAGAAAAAACTACTGCTGCTAAAAATAAGATTAGTACTTCAACAGTCTCTGAATCAAAGTGCTTAAGTGACTTTCACCAGTTTCCTGGTATAACTGTCTTTAAAACGTTATCAAACATATATTTCTTGAATGGTTCACCCTTAGCTCTGAAGTGCATTATAGTTGGCATTATAGAGGGACAATTGTTGGATGCCCATCTCAACTCCTCTTCAACAGTTCAGATTTGACCCTAGTATCAAATATTGAGAATATCTGCAAGAAAATGAGTGGAGATCATGCTTGTCATTCATTTTTTTTAATGCTTGTAATTTAACTCTGTCACTGCATATTTCTCTTTTTAAGACCTCATTCAGTTCCTTCCAAATTCAACAGCATCAGCAATAAAATAGCTATTTCCCTGTGTTTTTTCAAGTCTACAGAAATAGACTTCAGGGTACTCAGCATGTGTTCAAACATTTCTCTTAAGCCTAATGTTGAGAACTCTGGCTGTGACAGTGCCATCTATTTTTTCATGATTTTGTTCACAAATTGTCATCAGATTAGGCTAGTTCTTGATATGGTGCTCAATCTGCTACTAAGTTTCATCACACTTCTTGTGGGAAAGTTAACCTTTATTTCTGAAACACTGAAGTCTTTGGCTAGGAGGTGCATCAAATGAGCACTGCAACTATATTATATTAGCTTACAACTCTCTTCATTCTTGTCTCATCTTGGATACATTTGCAGCATAGTCTGTGACCAAGCTGATTACTAGACATTTGAATATTTTCCCACAGTTTGTTATAGCTTTTACTGCTATTTCTTGTAAGTATTCTGCTGTGTGTGCATTTCCTGATGTATTGATTGTATCTGTAAGGAAGACATTCCCTCCTTCTATTGTCACACAAGCGCATACAAGATCATTGTGGACACTGCTCCACCCATGAAGACTCAGGTTAAAAATTTTACCCTGTAGACTTTTTGCACACTGCTCTGTCACATTAAGCTATTTTATCATGTATTCAAGTGACAGAAATAATCTCCTTTAAAAGAATACTTTAACGCAGTAACTTAGGAAAAACAGCACCTGTCAAATTAATACTGTTGAAAAAAAATATGTTAAGCATCCTTGGTATATTTCATATTTGTCAAATTTAATCATATCCTTTTAAAACAGAAATAGCATTTCAAATCCATTTGCTTTTCAATAACTGGAAACAACAGACCAAATACATAATTCCGAATGTTGCATATAAAGATCCTATCCATCACCTTAAGATTTCTCTTCTCCTAAATCCAGAGGTGGGCAATAAAAAGAAACAGCAGCCCCGCAGGATTAGTCCCTTGTATATTTTTTGAAAAGTTCGTAAACATTTTAAGTATGGGTCATTGAAAATATAAAATCATAGAATACTAGGACTGGAAGGGACCTCGAGAGGTCATCAAGTCCAGTCCCCTACCCTCATGGCAGGACCAAATACTGTTTAGACCACCCCGATAGACATTTATCTAACCTACTCTTAAATATCTCCACATCATAAACAAGCAGCTGGACATAAATATTCTTTGCAAACAATAATACTTGGCACTTATCTTTTAATCTTCAATTTATTTTATAATCATTATCTGATTATCAGTCCCTTATAGAATTCAAAATAAGAATCATTCTCTTTATCAGCAAAACAATGCAGATATTCACGTGTTTTTATTTTTATGTAATTAGTTGTAAAAATGGATTAGAATTTCTAGTAAGCACCATAAAGACTGGAAAAAACAAATCTAAAACTCCAAACAGAACTAAAATCAAAATGGAAGGGTAAAAATATGTTAACTACACTTCTTCGGGTAGTCCCCGTGGGTGCTCCACGTCTGGTGTCGGGCTGGTCCCGGCGCCGCGAATCGGAGCTTGCCAGAGCTGTCATCGACCGGGTCGCGCATGCGCGAGCAGCCTTCACGCCTTTGAACAGCCGCGCGCAACCCGGTCCCCGCCAGTTCCTCTCATCCGCCCCTGGTCGCGGACGGAGCTCTACTCATCTCCTCATTACCTCAAAAAGTCTAAGAAAGATTTGCAAAATAACTTCTTTTTAATGCTTTGCCACTTAAAGAAAGGGGAAAACAAACAACCCGGATATATTTAATCTTTAAAACCCTTCACGCCTTTGAACAGCCGCGCGCAACCCGGTCCCCGCCAGTTCCTCTCATCCGCCCCTGGTCGCGGACGGAGCTCTACTCATCTCCTCATTACCTCAAAAAGTCTAAGAAAGATTTGCAAAATAACTTCTTTTTAATGCTTTGCCACTTAAAGAAAGGGGAAAACAAACAACCCGGATATATTTAATCTTTAAAACCAGTTTTTCAAACCGCGGCTCCCGACAGCTTTCGCCGCAGCAGCCT